AGAGAGAGAGAGAGAGAGAGAGAGAGAGAGAGAGAGAAACAGTGGGATCATAGAAGAAAAAAATGAAAAAGAATAAGATGGTATAAGAAATGGGTTATTGCAAGCAGCGCTGCTGCACTGTCGTCGAGCGCCCCCGCGTAATCGCTGAGTTATCGCGCCACCGTTCATCATCGAGCCACGCAATTGAAAAGATACGGAGCCATTGTCAATTATCGATCGCAATTACGATCGGCGACTTTTATCGGGCCTTTCGACGCGATGCCGATCTCGGATCGCCGGACTCGGCCGGCAAATTAAAGTAACGCGGGTGCGAAGACGAATCCCCGTTTCTAATATAGAGTGTCGGGTTGGGGTTGGGGTGGGGTGGGGTGGGGTGGGGCCGGAGACCGGTGGCCGGCTGCAGAGAGGAACGGCAATGGGAGGGAGGGCCGCTCTCGCACCGCTCTCGCGCCACTACGTGTTTTCGGCATAGTGTTACTAAATACGTATCCGGGTAGGATTGAGAAGCGCGCGAGCGCGCGAGCGCACACTGCCACTATCCGGACGCTCTATTTTCGTGAAGGAAACACGCGCTCTAATTTTAACCGGCCGGCATTTCGAGTGATCGGGCTCCTCGCTCCCGTGATCTCTTTCCTTCATTCGTGTTTTTCCATCTTTTTTCTGCCGCTCAATGGTCGAGGTGAGATTCTGCCTCCGTTATCGAAACGCTCGGATTGCGTAATGGCGAAAGCTCGGAAATACACGTCGACGCGTACGGGCCGGAAAAATTGCCCCGACGAGGGCCGATGGAAGAAGAATCGTAAACGGGCCGAGACGGTTTTCGCGACGATTTTCGGCAGTGCTAGCCGATGAGCTTTTGTCCCGCTCGGACGGGCAACGCTATTAATAGCTCACGCTTAATCCGCATATCAGCTTTCCATGAGAAAAATTCTAATTCTGATGCGGCCCAACATTCTCAATGCTCTATTCTACAGATTTTTCACTTTTCAATGTAGCTTACGACTGGCGCACCTACGCGTCCCTTTACCCGTATTATTTTTACTTTCTTTATTTTAATTTTACAGCGAGCTAGTTGACTAGAGGGTTCATCATTACATCTAAAACTACTACAGCTAGCCATTACAAAATAATCATGAGTTAATTAGTTTGGATAATTAGAAAGAGTTAAGATAATATCGAGGACTTATACCCGTGACTGGAACTTACTTCCTGCGAACAATAAGGACAATACGAGATATTAGTAAAGACGGGGGTCTCGGTCGCGCGTGCCTGCTGTAGAAAGTCTGGATTAATATTGGAGGAACACTTACACTTCCTCGACTTCCTCGACCTCTTCTTCGGTGCTGTAAAATAGAAGGGGAAGAAAACAACGGTTAATTACGACATTAAACTCGCATGCTGGATGAATGGATGGATGGCTGGATGGTGTCTGTGCTTGTAGTGGGTCGCTGACGCTAAAGGGCGCGAGTCGACAAAACGAACGTGGGGTTGACACGTCCAGGTGTTATTAGTCATTGGGTGGGCGTACATTATGCCCGGGTCGTTGATTTGGGCTGCAGAGCTCGTTTCCTTTTTTCATTTCTCTCTATCGCTCTTTTCTCGACGGTTCAACAATATAAAAGGACAATTGAATGGTATGTAATATCGCAGCTGGATCATCGCGGTCTGTAAGTGGTGTTTGTAGTCTGTAAGATGGCGATGAGAATGTAGATGTAAGATCGCGGAGGCGAACGGGAGCTCGAGCATCGGCATTTATGGACTTGACTCGTTTGGCTTGAGACATCGAGCGAATTGCGAATTTTAGGATACGTCGTGAGGAATTATCGATGCAATTATTTAGGGAAAAGAATCGCATTTATCTAGCTTTTACCTACGCGTCCTTGCGTTTCGTGCGTAAGGCCCAATTCGTTATACCCGAGTCTCGTTCACTAAAATACATTATCAATATCCAAAATAGTCGAGAAAGTAGAGCGGTAGGCGGGTAGAGTTTTGACACTGTCATACGTATTTATAAATGTATATGTCCGGCTACGTCACAAGCATTCTAGTCAATGTACAAGCCGAATGAGATAACGAATAATGCGCAGATCATTATTATACTCACGAGTATTGCTCCTCGTCGTCCGACATATTTGCGGGATATTAGGGTGCTGCAACAGAAAAGAATCATCCATTTAATGAACAGGCAAATTGATTGGCGAAGGCGCTCGCGCGATTAATCAACAGCAGCGGTGGGCATAGGTTTTGTGTTTTCGCGGAGGGACGCCTTGGCGATGAATAGAATTACGTCGAGCGGATAATCCATTGGTTCGAATGACGGCGGTGAGCGGGTGGGGGAGAATGGAATCCGAAAATCAATGCAACGCTGGCGCGGAGGAGTAATCGGATATGTGGCGTGCGAGCGATTCGCCAAGCCTGGTTGCAAGCGCGAGCGCAAGCTCTATAAGGAGCCGATCCCTTCCAACTGCTTGCGCCTCTCTTACGTGGCTAATTATAGAAACCGGCTAACCATCACCAACATGGCCGTTTACTCGCGCGCCCCCTCACCGTCCCAACTCTTCCTGACCGACACCCCTCGCCCTATCACCCACTACGCCCACTAGCCTGGCCCGCGGTCGAGCGATTCCTTATCAGCTTCCCGATACTCCACGGCTTCTCTTCCCTTTCTCCTTTCGCCTCATTATCGTTCGCTCGCAATGGAGTTTGCGACGGGTGTACTTCCAAGCGCGTCTTTAGCGATCCTTGGCGCACGGACCAACTTTTTCCCATCGCAACATCAAAACCCGTACCGTCACGAGTCCCTGTCAACAATGTTGTCGAATGTTGAAACAGGAAAGGGAAGCGAACAAATACAAGCTAATCGATGCACGATCGTTGCGCTCGTAGGATCCTCGTAGGATCCTCGTAGGATCCTCTCTCTCTCTGGGCTCTGGAGGGGATAGATCAGCAACCAGTTGGATCCAGACTTGAACATCAACTGTCATCCCAATCCCGTAACCTTGATATTTTTTCTTGTACGATTGCAAAATTACACTCTAGTACATCTTTCCCCGGCCCCTCTCTCGCCGTTTCGCGCACGCATATACACGCATGCACGTATCCGCGTACCCACCCAACCTCCCTCCTTCCATCTCCCTTTATATCATACACACACACGAACACACACATACACACGCGCGCGCGCGCGCGCGCACGCACTCTCTCTCTCTCTCTCTCTCTCTCTCTCTATCTATCTATCTATCTATCTATCTATCTATCTATCTATATCCCCCCCCCCTCTCTCTTACTCACTGCACACGCGAAATTGTGAAAAGTCCTTTAGAGTTTTTGATCCTCGATGGAGCACTTGTTGGCTTAGATTCTAGATGGCTGTCAGTTTTAAATTTCTCACAGCAACGATACGGTGATTGCGACACAACACTTTTAAAATACGATACTCTCGTTATATGGCGTTGTTACGTATTCGTTACGCGAGAGAGTTGAACGATCGGCGAACGCACTTTGGTTTTTCTTTAATGCACGACGACGTGTCACGCGATATGAAATGAAAGCTCATGGAAAAACGCAGAAGCAGAGAAAGTAGTGAATTTGGATATGTGTGAAATAAATAAAGAAAATTGGCACTCTAGGAAAGTCAAATACATTTGCATTAAGAGATGTACGTAGGGTTTAGAGGGTTAGACGAGTTGTTAGCCAATTTCACCGGGTACATCATAACAAAATGATAAAATCTGATTATGATATAGAGATATAAGGAGAGACAGAGAGAGAGAGAGAGAGAGAGAGAGAGAGAGAGAGAGAGAGTGAGAGAGAGAGACTAAGAGAGATAATGAACTAGTGAGTAAGTGAGCGAGTGAATGAGTGAGTGAGATCGGAGAAGAAGAAGACTTACACTTGGGTACTGTGTGTGAGAGAAAAAAATCAAGTGTGTGTGTGTGGGGTGATGTCTCTCGGAGCCTAAGCCGAGCCAGAGACAAGACGGGCTGCTTCGGCGCACGTTCACACGAGAGCTTTTCCGTTGGAATGTGGAGTCCGCGCGACAGCTTGAGCGGCTCTGAGGGGTCCGACCTCTTCGCCCTGCCCGGAGATCGCGACTTCGGCGATTATCCCCCTTTGTCGCTCTATCTCTCTTCCTCGCTCACTCCTTTCCCGCCCCATCGTGCGCGCGGACGCGTACTTTTCTCTCTCGCCCCGACACCCGTCCTCTATCCCTTCCCGCTCTCTCCTAAATTCGCTATTCTTAGGAGCTTCTGGCAGCAGCGACTTTCCAACTCGAACTTGGGGCCCTACGGGACGGCGCAGGCGCGCACAAACCCAAATACCTATTTCTGTCGGCGGCGAGGAGTCGCCCGCTGCCGGCTCACTCTTCTTCAGCCGTTCCTGGACGAGAATACACCTACGTCGAGGGCGACCCTGCCGAAAGCAGCGTCTTAATGCGCGCGTGTGCGAGGCAAAATAGAGAAGAGACAAAGAGGAGGAGTATGACATCGACGCCGCCCTGGAAATCATGACCAGCTTTCCCCATTTCTTTCCCCAATATTATTTTCTTAAGTGTGCGTGCGATATGGTTGCCGGATCCGTTTATTACCGACCATACAATTTTCAGACAATTTTACCAATTCGAGGCAATGCGCTCGCGAGTTCCCAATCGTCGATCTTTATGAATGGAGACGTAGCTCGTGACCATTTTCTCCCATTACGTCCGCATTTTCTACGCAAACTGTACAGATGTTCCGAGTTATCGCAAGCTCCAACAGCTTCATTTCTTTTTCTCTGTTTCTTTATCCGCGATACTCCCCCAAGCCCTACTGCATTGGACCATCTCGAATGTCATTTACGCACCATTGTGAATTGCGCATTCGATGCATTTTATTTTTTGTGGATTATGAGTGGTTGGGCCCCGTCGTTTTGCCGAGGGGCTAACGTTGAATTTTAGCTATTTTGTCGTAATAGCTTAGAGATGAAATGAATGTTTTATAAAGTCATAGCGAGGGCAATAAGTATAAATGCCCTAATTATCGAAGGAAATTTACCTAAATTTTTTTTTTAAGCTCGCTCCGCGAATTTACGCCGTTTGCCAAATGCGATTAATGTTTAACGAAGACTCCATTCTGGTGCTGCTTTAATGAATTTTCATTAAAAATACATAATGCCGTGTTGCAACTTTTATGCTTGCCATAAATCAAATGCCAGAAGCCTAAATTGAAAATTACACGTGAAATTTCGAAACTATGCAAATTGACTTGATAAACAATTTATCCGCTTTTACCCGATTATTTCATTTCGATTACGAGCAAATGATTTTATATTTATGATAAACTTATTCATTTGGTTTTTGCCCTCGCATTTATTGATTTTATCAAAATAGATTGTATTTCTGCAATTAAGAATACAATATTTTGTAAATACTTCAACAGTCTCCATTGACAAAAGATCTATTTTTAAATACCCAAGGCTATATATATATATATATATATATATATATACGGATTATTAATTATTAAATAAATAAATTTTTATTGGAAAATGCTTGTCGATGTAAATATTTAAATTACAAAATTACGTATTTTCCAAAACTCTTTCCTTGCTTGACTTAATTATTTTACTACGATATAGACAATGAACAGCTTTTACCATTATTATTTTGACGGACATAATTGAAAAAAAGGTGATTTTTCATTTTTGAGCTAACAAACGAACCAAAAAAACAAAAAAATAAATAAATAAACTTCAATGAATTAAAATGATAATTTCGATTCTTAAAGTACACATTTTGATAATAAGGTTAAGATTACGATTCATGAAGCAGTGAGAGTAATCGTAAATCTCATAAAATGAGGAAACGATTTGTTAAAAATGGTGTATTGCATGTCAAAAATGTATTATTAAATATTAATTGGATAACTAGATCGGTGTGTAAAATGATACGAATTACGTCATTTTAATTTTTCAATTTAAATTTTATTTAGAACACAGTTTACATTTTACAATTAATATTTTATCGTATTAATAAAGTATATGTACAGAACATTCGCATCTACTTTATTTATATCGTCTATATAATTCAGGTACGAATAAACAAATATTCACATTAAATTTGCTGCTTTCATATTGTGAAATGTAGTACGTAAAAAACGTACATTCCATTCAATCAATTTAATCTTAACATTTTCAAATTACTTGTTACTATGACAAGTCTAAGTAATTACAATGTTTCATTACTTATTTTAATAGTGCATAATAACGTTAAATAACAAAAACAAAAGAACAAAAAAAACAAAAAAAAATAAACAAAAAAAAACAAAAAAAAAACACACACGCACGCACACACATAGAAGTATTTATGTAATCAATGCTTGTACATCATTATATTTACGATTAAAGAATAATTACCGTTTGTTTTATGTTGTTGAGATTTTAATGGAGCATTACTCGGAGACAAGAGGATTCTAAAAAGTTTAAGTATTTCATTCGCCAGTATAGGAGAAGCCAACATTTTTATTGCTATATTTATAAATAGGTAAAAACAATATTAAATTTTTTAAGAAACTAATCTTTTCGGATGAGAGGAAAAGTTTCAAAGTAAAATATATCCCGAGTTATGTTTTTTTAAATATCGAGAGGAATATCTCAATAAATACATGATAATCGAACATAAATATGAGAAAAGTCTTTTAATAAGACATAAGTTTTATACAAAAGGAAAGATCTGCAGAATTAGAGTTGAAAAATTGCAAAAACGAAACGAAAAAAATTTTTGCTTCTATTTATATCGTTTGTGAATTAATTAATACAGAATCTGTTATCATATGTTTCGTTAATTGAATTGAGCAGATAATAAGGAAAAATTGAGAAAGTAATTTGGTCGGATTATTGAAATTTATAAATCTGAATGTTAGATTGAATTACTTAACTTTTTATTGCGTAAAACAAATACAAACTTAATTCAGCAATAAACTAGTTTTGTTCAATTTACATTTCATACATTTATTTTTATTACGGAAATCATATTTTTACAGGTTTTTTTTTTTTTTTTTTTTTTTTTTTTTTTTTTTTTTAGTTCTTGAAAAATGAAATTAGTAATGTCATTGTACCGTCATTGTTACGTAAATGAACCTGATACAATATATTTTTTCGTATTAATAGAAACCCCAGGGAATATGCAGACAATGCAATGTAGTCGCGGCTTTTAAAGATAAAATTATTTTCGTTAATTTTGTTGTTATTCGAAAATTTATGGTGTGAATTTCATACTTTTTATTTCCTCTTTATAATTTATGTTTGTTTATAATGAATTTTGTCGGGTCTTTATTTAAATTTATAAGTAAACATAATGACTCATTGTCCTTTAATAGTATAATTCTATTCGCCTCAATGTAATGCAAGCAGATACTAAAGTCCTCTTAATATTCTAATTTATCCTTTTTTTTTTTTTTTTTTTTTTTTTTTTTTTTTTTTTTCCTTTTAATGTGAATTATCTTCTTATTATTGCATTGTTTTTAATATTATTAAAGCAAGTTGATATTAAACGTCAATGGTTTGGCAAATATAATGCAATACCGGCTATTTGTATATAACCATATGGCTATTCTACTTTCATAATAAATTAAAATAATCGAATTCTTTTTAAAGAAAATGTGTAAGTGTGTTAATTTATTCCATCGCGTGTTTATAATCTTGAAAATTATTAATAATTACGTACTCTTTAATGTGCAAAACGTTATATTGTATTTGTGAAATTGTTACGCGTTCGGGTAGACGAAGCGTTTGCTTATTGAATAATTAAATTAATTTAATTTATTTTATACCTTGCGGATGATATATTTATCCGTGGTTCTTGAGCTAATTGATGATTGTGTAGAATAAAAGTTCTTTTTTAATCTTATGAAAGCGACCAATAACATTCATAAATAAACTTATAAATAGAATTACAGGTTAAAATGAAAATGAATATGAGCGTAGAGTAGAAAGAATACGAATTAATAGATCCAAGTTAAATATTAAATGAAAAATGATTTCGTAATTGTTATAAAGTACAAATACATGACGTACCGTAGTACTCGTTAATTAATTTATTTATAAGGATTTGATGTATAGAAAATTTTTAATTTTTGAAATCCAGCATTTGAGAGTTTATTTTGGATTAATACGCACCTACGACATTACATTATATATAATTTAAAATGCGATATAATTTCGTGAATATGAATGTTCGATTCTTAAAGCATTTGAGAATTTGCAATCCCCTTACCTTATCGTCACACGCATTTTATAATATTAATTGTTACGATGAACAATCGATAAGATATTGCTTGGATTATTAGGGTAAATCGAAAATTTTTTCCATAACAATGAAGCTAATGGGCCTATATAATACGAATTCCGATAAAATTCCATGACTTTTTGAAATTTGAACTTTTGGCATTGCGGCAATGTGAATTATTATTAACAACACGTAGATTTGCTTCCCAGCGCAATTCCACGAGCTTTAATAATGAAAAGGTGATGCAATTAATTCTTCAACGAAGCCAATATAGAAAATATCAAACTTTTTTTTTTTCCCCCTTAAAATTAATATTCCAATCGAGTATTAATGTAATCTTCCATAATTTTTATAATTATAATGAATAACAATACGAATACACACACACACACACATATATATATATAAATATAAAGTAAAATTGCTATGATAATTCCTTCGAATCTATTAATACGCCTTACAAACGCGTTTGCATTCAAACAAATGTTTACTAATAATAAATAGGTGAGTCTAAAAATAAGCTTTTACGATAATTCGGTGGTATCTTACAATCGCAAAGCTACGTCATAACTGCGCCAACAAGATGCTGGGAATTATAATTCTCGCCCCTCCCATATTCCTATAATAATTTCAATGATAATATCCATAAACGTAATATCGAATGTAATGTCGATTGTTCCTTCGGTATGGAAATGATGATGATGATGATGATGATGATTATGATGATGATGATGATGATGAGGACGACGACGACGACCACAACGACGACGACGACGATGACGACGACGACGACGACGACGACGACGACGACAATAATAATTGGCTGAACGTGGGGGAAAGGAGGGGGACAGGTACCATTGAATCACAACAGCGTAATCAATTGCATTATTATTTATTTATTGAGCATACTCCTTGAGAATTACGAGGACAGAGTCAACGTAGATGCTACAGCATTGTGAAAAAAAAAAAAAAAAACAAGCAGCAGCAGCAGCAGCAGCGGCTCCTTGTCTTTCCATTTCAAACGATGAAAATCATCGTATAAATACTTTATAAATTGGGACGGGCGGGCCAAGTGGTGACAAACAAAAAAGCCCGGACGGGAGGAGGAATGAAAAAAAGCGCAGAGGAGAAAGGCGCCGGAGATGAGAAGACGGGGAGGCGCGTGAAACGCGAGCCGCGACGCATCGTGCCGTCTTCGGGGGGCCGACCTTCGTCCCCGGGGTGGATGTCGCGTCAGCTCCCCGTACGGTTAGCTAGAGCTGGTAGGGGAGCGGAGCTGACGGAGGGGCGGGGAGGGGGCAGTCGAGACCTTGCCTCTCTTATCAAATAGAAGGTGTTGCGCGCGTGCTGCGTACTTTCGCTTATTCCTCCTACGTCCCGCGTCACTCCACCACACCACCTCCCGCACATCCCATCACACTCTCTCTCTCTCTCTCTCTCTCTCTCTGTTATTCCACTCGCAGCCGTCTCCATCGCCTCCCTCCCTACGGCGTTCGGTGCAGCGGCTGAATCGTCGGGGTCTCGAGCACCATATAAGGTGGCTCACGGTGTCGGGAGAGGGCGTCGCGACGCCGCCTCGATATAAAGTTGCCAGAGATGAGAGGCGGACTGGCGCAAGCCTCACGGTGCTCCTCCACGGAGTTGGTCGTCGCGTATCGCGAGCAGGATTTTCGAAACCGCGTCGACAGCCACCGCTGAATCGCTTTGACACGTCGAGTGACGTACCGTTCCTCTCTGCGAGTCCCGAATTTCCAGCCCTTAGGACTTTATCGGTCGAGCGGCCGCGTGACGAGCCAATTGGCACGAAGCTCCATCTATTGTTCTAAAGATTTGTGATGGAAGTCGACTGTGGGGCTGGGCAATGAGTTTGCTCGAGCGCTCGACGAGTACAGCGTAGCGGCTATGATGCGTTATGATTCTCCTCGAGGCAGTTGGGTGCTTCGCCATTACGTCATGCTTATACTCTCATGTTCTTTGGCACGTCCAATAAAAATGGCCTCTTGAACGGACGATCCTTTCCTCCGAACCTCAACTGGCCAGATTCCTTCTTACCACCGAATCCACCACCTGAAATGCCATCGTCGATCAAGGTCAGCGAGGAGCAGTCGCTCAAATGGCAGATGGCAATTCTCTATTGTAAAAACGAAATGTACTACGCACCTAACCTCCTTGGTTTCCAGCCCTTCATCGTACGACCAACTTCAAAGTCCACGAATATTTTATGATTCATCATGGTCAGATCGCTCATCCTTCTGGCTAATCTCCACGCATCGTCCTCCGACCTCATTTCCACAAAACCATAGCATTGCGAGGTCCCGGTGACTATGTCGTATATTACCTTGGCAGAAACGACTTCCCCGTACTTTGAAAAGAACTACGATTCACGTATTAGTTTCAGCTGCAAACATCCATCTATCCTTTCCATTACTAACGATTAACTCACATCTTTCAAGTCGTGCTTGGACACCTTAGGTCCAAATCTCGCTACGAACAACGTCCTCTCTGGCTTTGACTTTAATCCATGAGGTGGCTCATAATGAGAATCTATTGCTCGAGCAACAGCTCTGTCGTGGGGCTCGGTATCCGTTCCATCGATGCTGCCGGCTTTCAATGGGTCATACTCCTTGGCAAAGGGGCTCCAAGTCTGCTTTAAGTCGCTCTTCAAACAATACATAATGTTATAATCGACATATAAATACGAATGCATCAGAGGCTTCTTATTCGAGTCGTTCACCCATTATAACCAACAAAATATGCTACGCATTCCTTGTAAATGCATAAACGTTATTCCCATCGTAAAGCTTAAAGTAGATAAACGACGCACACTGGAATAGTTTATCATAGTACTTACCATTATGCAAAGCAATAATTTTCAATGAACATGCAAATGCGATATGATCGATCATCACAAAAGACCGCCAAGCGAATCCAAGAGGACAAGTGTTTGTTTGATGGGCGATCGATCGACTGTGGAGATTCGATGTTAGAAGGCGGCGTTATTGCTCGCTGCTGCCATCTTTCGGACGCTAAGTGAGCCTAAAGAAATCTTGTTTACCCACGGGATTGGAATTATATCCGCGAAGAATAATCTTTACGATCGTTTAAATTTTCACATTTCACATGGATTCTACACATTCTACATTAATGTAGCTGCAAAAGCGTGCATTTTATGATTTTACAAAATAATTTACCGCCCCTATACACGCTCTGTAGTAGTTTGTGCTTGAGTTTGTAGTGAAATTTAACACGTGGACAATTTATTTATAATAATTGCGCTCACCTTGAGAAGTCAATAGTAACGTGTGGCAGTCAATATTGTAAATCATTGGCATTATACATATTACAAGTTTTATTATTATTGAACGGATTATATACGTAAAGTGTGCTTCGTCGTACATAAGCTAATGTAGCTTATGAAAACAGTATTAATAGTACTTGAAATATTAATCGTACGGCTGTGGAGCTAAAATACACATTGAGGATAAAATAATTTGCTTAAGAGCAAACGTTAATCCACTACATAGATATTCAATAAATGTTTCTTCCACTTTCAAGTAATTTCGAATAGTAATAAGTCGAAGGACGATTTATTGGGGGAAGAGTTGATCGAATGTTGCGTATCGTAACTGCGTAAGCTTTTAAATTATTAAAAGCTCGTTTAGCCAAGATTCACGTAATGATCTTCCTTTGGAGTTGATATTTGCTTATAGGGTTCGTATATTTATTGGAGCGGCCGTGGCAGGCTCGGTTAATTTCGAAATTGGGAAATTGGGAAAGATTAAATGTAAGAAGGCAGTGCGCCAACACGATATAACGATGTGGCAAAGTACTTTTCCAAAATCCTATATAGATTTACTCATTGTACAAAGATATCAATGCCGATAACTTATGTTTAACGCCCGTGTGACGTGATATTTCTGCTCGACATTATTTCCAACATATAATATCGCATTACTAGTGCGTTATTTTTGTTTAAATATTAATGAACGAGGAACGCATTGCGTGTGCCATGATGCATTATCACAACAAACGAATTATCGAAATTACTTATGGCCACAAACCAGTAAAGTAGTCCGAGTATTTACCATTTGATTGAAAAATCCATAGTTTATAATTAACATTTTTATAGAGAAAGTATAGAGTAGAGACTAGTGCAAACAAGTCGACGAAAAAAAAAAGAAAAAAAAAAAAAGAAACATTAATAAGCAATTTTCTCATCAGTTTGTGATTAAATAAATTGATTTAATTTAATGAGATTTGAATTGAATGTATTATTTTAATCGCTAATTAAACTTTGTTTAAAATTAGTTTTTCAATTATTATTAGAATTTGCATTTACTTAAAGACCTAAAGACCGATGTTGGCCACTGGAATTCTACACAAATATTTCGGTTATTAAAATTCAATTCAATTACATGCGTAATTTTAATTATAAAAATACTGGCTATATAATGTGAAGTAGTAACTTGTAACATAATAATTAGCATCGGTCAGAGATGTATAAATAGATAACCAAATGAAATAAATTAAGACATAGCGTTTGTACATTTGAAATTAATTTATTAGCATCGTATTGAAAGATCATACAACTCATTGACTAAACAGAATCCAATTTCGGATGTTGTTGGTGTTTGAGATACAAAACATCTTAAGAATATCGATGAAAGAAGCGAGAGAAATAAAAATATAAAATTAACGATTGAACGTTCAAGCATCATAATAAATTAACTGTTACTTTTGATATTATTATCATTATTATTATTATCATTATTAGAATTTATTTATTTATTTTTGTTTTTTAATGTAACTACATAACTCATATATACCTCCAAATTATTGTTCTGCAACTTTTCACTACGAGAGCTGATTTTATTAAGATCGTAGTATTCATCGTTGGGTTTTTTTTTTTTTATTTTAGTAAGACATTAGGAAAGGGAGACGAACTTGAGAGAGAGAGAGAGTGCAATACGTTTATTAGATATTAAGATATATTTTAGTCATCTTCATTGGCAATACAAGTGGCATAATTAAGTATGAAATACGTTTACTTCCTTAATAAAACGTTAGTATCGTTGCACAAGGAAAGCATTAATTGTTTGGAACGGTATGAACTGAATATTTAACTTTTTTTCTTCATTTGAAATGAAAGTATTTTAGAAACTGTTTCAGTATATTATTAGGTATAAACTTACTTGAACATAATAAAATTGTAATGAATGGCGAATGATTTATATGACTTGACTATCAATTAAAATTTACGAATATAATATAAATTCATGGTTATTTTAAGTACACATTATCTTAAATAATAAGTAAAAATATCCGTATTTATAATTATTTTTATTTTGCTGTACAAGAATTTTCATAAATAATAGTTTAAAAAAATCGATGAATGATCGAAAATGTTACTATTTCTAATACACATATACATACACACACACGCGCACGCGCGCGCGCGCACACGCACGCGCACACACAGACACACACGTAAATATTGTTAATATTCGATAACTATTGGGTGCTTAAACATATATAGAATAGTATTAATTTGTAATTACAAATAAATTTTTACTTAAATGGATCTTTTTTATTACGACAAAATAGGTTAATAAATAAAGATGCGACACACGTCGAAAATGATCAATCTATTTTAATAAACAATTTTGTTAACAAAGCAAGTGTAATCTTTCTTGTCTTTATCTTTTTCATCATCCGTCTATTACTTTTTTTCGCCCCCTCCTCCGCCCCGCCCTCCTGATAAATCAGATGCTCATAGTTTTTAACATTCTTTTCATGCAAATATGAAAAAAAAAAATTGAACAGCGCACCTATTAATGCGTAAATTTAACAACATTGCCGAGGACCCGTGAAAGAGATATAGAGATAGAGAGAGAGAGAGAGAGAAAGAGAGAGAGAGAGAGAGAGAGAGAGAGAGAGAGAGTATAAAAGAATTTCTGACTGATAAGGAAGGAAAGAACAATACGAGCTTCAAACGATTGTCAATTCTATTTATCTTCAGCGTCCAATCTATAACTTAATTGATTACGATTTTAGATCGAAAGTTTCCCGCGTCATACCTTAGAGACAAGCGCGTAGCGCACAGTGATAACCTTGAATCTGTGTTGCTGATAAGAGATGCTCTATGTCTAATATACTCGCTGCATATAATTTTTATTATCACGTACAGGTATATTAAAAGCCTGTACGGTCGAGCGATTGATTAAGTACTGACGATTCAGCATAAGGAAATCTATATTCAAGAGGTAAATAGCTTTTGCTAATTGTTATCGCCGAGAGAAAGTATCGGTTATTGACAAGGAGAAATGTCGCATTGGTATATTGCAATGATATCCGTGTGATGGAGATTCGCCGCTACGCGTCACATAAGACTTCTACCCCTGGAAATTGCAACTTCGTGATATTGTGAAAGACGTAGGTGCGCGTCGAGGGAAAGCTGAGGCGGGACCTCGGACGCGGAAGTTCCCGGTCACGTCACAGCAGCGAGGCGACGATCATTCCCCCTCCCCACTCCCTCAAAATTAATACTGACGCGAGACGCGAGTGATCGTCGGCTCTACGACACGACTACTTCGATCAAGCGTTCGGGGATGCTTCGAAGCTTTGCTCGCTCATTCATAAGACTGCGAAACATTCGACGGGATTCGAGCGCTGGATGTGGAGTGGCGTGTTGTGAGATGGGATTGTAGCGGTTGGTTGGTTGATTATGTGCGTGCGTGCGTGCGTGCGTGCGTGCGTGCGTGCGTGTGTGCGTGCGTGCGTGTGTGTGTGTGTGTGAGTGAGGAAGGGAGAAGTGGATAGCCACGAGGACGCGGGCTCAGGAAGCACCTCCTTTCGACGGGGAGGAGGGAACGTAGAGGTCGTCCCGGGCTCGTCCAAGCGCTGAGGCGTGAACGGGCCCCGGGACTCTGGGGCGGGGTGGGTGGGGGCCCCTCGAGGTCAGACGAGCTCGACATTGATGTGGGCGCCCATGCGGCGCAGCGCCAGGATCGTGTTGACGGCTTTGACCCAGCGCTTCTTGATGACGTAACGCTTGAGTCGTACCTTCGATATCGGGTTCTCCATCGGCGCCTCCAGCCAGCGATGCTCCAAAAGCTTCTCCGCGCTCGGTCTCTTTCTGCGATTATTCGTTCTCAGTGAGAATCGGTGAGCGTTTTGGCAGCGTTTTGGTTTTTGCTTTTAATGCGGCGCGCGCGGCAAGGACGATCCAACGATATGGATGGATAATGCCGCGCCTCGGCTCTCGCCACGCTCAATCGATCGATCGATCCTGCACTCGATCGCTTTTTATTAAAATGGCAGCCCGTTGCATGGCCCTTTTGTAATTTCTTACAACAAGTAAGAAATTCGGTAAAGTAAAAAAATGACTTTTTTTTTTTTATTTCATTGCCTGCTTTGTGGGAGAGAAGGCGTTGCCTCGAACCATTTTTCATTAGAAGCAAAATTTATATTTTTAATGCTTGCTATTGCGCACCCCCCTCCCCCCTCCCCCTCCCCCCCAACCGTCGTCAAATTTTACTTGGTCGTCATAATCGAGCCGCATAATCAAGTGAGAAAAAATATATCTAATGTACATTGCAAACGAATGACATTTATTTCAAGGTTTCCCCTTTCAATTTTGTAAAAGAAAAATTTCTTTATTTTTTCATTTTATAATTTCATTTCGTAATGCATATAAAGTAAGAACAACAAAATTCTTTCTAAATGAGTATGCTCTAGTAATGAGACTTGTTCTCGAAATTTTTCATAAAATGCGGGCATATTGCAGCAAAAGTAATACGTTCGATAAAAGTCGATAGTCTCTACTGTCACTGTAACTGTAAAATTACTTCACATTTGCTCGTTATCGTTTTGCTGAACAAAAAAAAAAAGAAGCACACATTAAAAACATAAATTATTAATTTTAATACATGATAATTATTTTCTTTACCAGTGCAAGCCTGTTATTCATCATTTTTTTATTTTACACTTATGTAGCATATGTAGCATAATCGATATAAGAATATCGAAAGAAGCAATGTGAAATAAGATTATTTTTTTTCATGTTATTTGTTAAGAATTTTATGAAAACGCAATCTTTCAAGAGCGCATTGTTATTTATTTAATTAATCAATTTTCGTCAAATTTCCTTAATCGTCAAAAATTCAAAGAAACTTAATAAGTTAATAATAGTTAATGTATATCTTACTTGAATAATACGATACTTTTTCCAGTTCGTTAGTATCCAGGTTAGTAATAAACGATCAGAATGCATTAGTCTCTTCTCCATGATTTGTTATAGGATTTGCGAAGTAAGGAAATCGTGGTCGATCGTTGTAACAACCTTGAAATCTTAAACTTAATTTATTGATATCATTCTTAGATCTCGCAGTCATTTATTATAATAAATATTTGATTACTTCTACGGAAGCTTCGTGTACAAGATAAGTCGCAAATTAAGGCGCCACAATATGTTTACTAATATGTTTACGATACAATAATAAAGCGTTGCAGCGTCGAACGGCTATTATAAAAATATTCTCTATCGTTCAATTTTTTCCAAGCACATTCAGCCCTCTTACTTTCCATAATAAACCATAAAAAAAGAAAATGTGCAGATTCCAATGTCGCGCGAACAACTAGATAGATCGGTCACGATATCGGTGCTCTTCATAAAATGATCCAACGTCGCTCGGACTGTTTCCAACTCCTTCTCGAGCGTGAAATTCCGCAGCAGCAGCAGCAGCAGCAGCAGCAGCAGCAGCAGCAGCAGCAGCAGCAGCAGCAGCAGCAGCAGCAGCAGCAGCAGCAGCAGCAGCAGCAGCAGCAGCAGCAGCAACAGCAACAGCAGCAGCAGCAGCAGCAGCAGCAGGAGAAGGTGGAGGAGAAATGCTGGGGCGCGCGCGCGCGCGCGCGCCTACGCGCATTTGGGCCGAGGAATCGGAGCGACACGCCGACGCCTTTTCCGCCCTTCTACCAACGACACCAACGACACCAACAGTATTATCAACAACGACGCGAGTCCAACAATATAGAAAAAGGCACTCGATCGCTTATCCTCTGGCCGATGGTGCGTTGCGCGACATCTCAAAGTCGCCAGGCGTGAGCGAGACTCTGTTTCCTTCCCAGATCGCGCATCGGAGTCGAGTCACTTCCCCGGCAACTTTCAACGACTATGTTTCACCGACAAGATCACAGTGGGTCGCGACGTCGATTGGGCCGGGCCTCGGGACTTGCCGCAGAGGTTGTCGACATCGATTGCCAACTATTCGCCACGTTACAATGATTGACGTTCGACGCACAGAAGAGATAGATAGATAGAGAGAGTGAAAGATAGAGAGAGAGAGAGAGAGAGAGAGTGTGTGTGTGTGTGAGCGAGGGACGGAGAGTAAGAGACACTCGACAGTGTCAGTGGGATGGTTTGACAGGGTCAGAGTTCTCGGGATTATCAGGATTATTGGGGTTATTGGGGCTTAACCGAGGCCGGCTACGCGCGCGTCGACTATTATTTCCTTGGCGTCGACTCGGGTCTGGATCGGGTGTCGGGTGAGGAATGTCGGCTCCGTCCTCGTATCCGGGCTCAGCGATGCACCTTCCGCTGCTCGGCCCTGAAGTACTCGGCGAGGGAGCTGATGGACTTGCGGGCGACCGACTCCGCTCTTCCTACCGGCTCCGGCGCCACCTGGCCGGCGCAGCTCCCCCCACTCGTCGATCAGCTGGAGCAGGAGGTTCTTGGCCCCGGCGGGCTCCTCGAGGCTCACACCCTTGTGCAGATTGCGCAGCGTCGCGATCCGCGGCACGTCCCGGCAGGTCTCGCCGAAGCGGCGCTTGGCTCGCGCCCGCCGCCAGGCCGGCGTCAGATCCGGCTCCATGGGCCGGGGCTCCGGGTCCCGCGGCCGCCGCTCGCCCAGGCTCGCGCCCAGTAGCCGGCGCTGCCTCGCCAAGCCCGAGAACGTCTCCGAGAGCTCGGCGGGCCCCGCGGCCTCAGCCACGGCCACGGCCCGCAGGTGCTCCGAGAGCCGGACGATCTCCTCGGCGAGGAGCATCTGGGCCGCGGGGTCGAGCCTCGGTCCCTCCCCGGCTCTACCGCCCTCGGAGGCGCGCCGCTCAAGGAGGATCGGCGGGCCCTCGGGCCCCGGGGACTCGGGCCCGCTGGAGCCGCTGCAGAGGCTGCCGCATGGCGAGGGGCTCTGGGCCCTGAGGGAGGCCGACTCGCGGGAGGAGCGTCGCTCGAGGGGTGCGCTCTCGGTGCCGTATGGGCTGTCCGGGTGCTCGCGCCACCGTTCCACGAACAGCCGCAGGTTGTCCTTGGCGACGTCAAGCTCGAGGCGGGCGCCAGGGTCGGGGGCCGGCGGAAGCCTCGGGGCCGGCCGCCCGGGCTTCCGGGCGAGCCAGCGGTGGCCGCGGCACTGCCTGGCGCTCGCTCGTTTTCTGAAAGTATCCACAACGGGGGCCTGGTCAGGGTACTGGGAGCTTGGAAGCTCGAGCACTCGAGCACGACGTACGCGGCGGGTGCGCGACTCCTCGGCATTTTATCATTTCCTCATCGCTACACCGCGTTGTTAGGCGACGAGTTCGAAGCTCCCGGGGCTCGACTGCTTTACCAGTACACTTAGCTACCTATGTGTGCTTTACCCCCCCCCCCCCCCCCCCCCCCCTCTCTCGTCTCTC